CGAGACGACGTTGTTTAGAGGGTGGCATCTGTCACGGGGCTAGGGCTGTGCACCGCATGTATATTGGTACTGCACGAGCTGGCTGATGTTCCATTCTTCGTGCTACAACAATAAACTACTGGTACCCCTATACACGACCCTGACATAGATCACCTGTTCAGAGCTCGCTAAGAGGACTGCTATAATGACCCTGACGCTTAAATTCCAATCTTTTACTTGCAAATCGTCTCCTATTGAATAGTGCGAATACTGTAACGGGGTAAGGCCGGACATCAGAGAAATAGGTTACGGGGCTAGGAGAAAGTTTATTTCCTCTTCTCTGAGAGGCACAGAGGCAGAGTAGGACACGAGTCCCCCATCTTCACGCATCATCATCCTCATCTTCATATCATAATCTCCTTCTTATCTATATCTTCACCTTCGCTTTTCAGTCAGTTATTTAGTTATTTTAGTTATTCAGCTTATCTTTACGTTCGAGATCCTATTATCACGATACGAGTATCAGAGGCACATCCGACCAACTCGCGCACCAGACGTATAAGAGCGAAGCTCTTATAACTAGTACCACGATCTTCGTCTGATAAGACCAACAGATGGGATCTGTTATTACTGGAGCCGTCTGTTCAGTGTGTTAGGTGGTAGGTATATCCTACTGACCGCCTGATGCCGTTTCAATACTAGCCCCTATCCTCGATTACTACCCTAGCCTAGGCCTCGTAGGGGACGTTAGCCTTCAATTCGGAGAAATTAGGCTCTATTTCACGTATTTTGGCCTTTAGGGCTTTCCATACATGCTCAATGGAGTCAAATCGGGGCTATAAGCGGGCCACTTGATCGTCCAGATACTGTGATCCTCTAGCTACCTCTGCGTATAGCTTGATATATGTATTTTCGCGTTATCCTGTATAGAGATCTCCTGACTCGTAAAACGGAAGCAGCCCTTGGTCTAGAACATCGGAATAAAACCGTGAGGACACTATAGCGCGGAGAGTTGGGATCGCCGTCGCGGAAGACCAACGTCGATGCCCCCCTTCATCATCCTTTAACCAGATCATACCCCACACCATAATCAAAATTCGTGGGCGCCTATAGCTCTGTGGATTCACGAGGTCCTCTCTATATCTCTTGTTCGCATAGCGGAAGACCCATTGGCCTAGAGAGTCCGGCGAATTCTTGACCGTACTACAGGATATGGATCCAGTTGTACGCTCATGTTACACTGCCGGTTACGAAACTCCTCCGGAAGAATATTCCTTTTCACTGGAGTCCTGATCAGAAGCTTGCCATAGAGACGCTGAAGGAGACGGAGTTGAGCGACCTGCGAGATATGAAAGCAGTGTTTGGAAAGGAGCAGAATTGACCTATGATGCTACAAAACGAGTGTAGAGGCGTCCCGAAGGTATTACGGCGACTTCAGAATTACGTCTATGGGGTCTACTTTATCCTCGAGACCATGTTAAAGTCCTCATTGCTCAGATCAATAACGCTGCCGCGGATCTCCCTGGATCTCTACTCATAAGATGTATTGCATGGATCAAGAATTTCGACTTCGAGGTCAGACACATCCCTGGAAAGAAGCACACTATCGCAGACAGACTCTCACGCAATCCTTCTGGTCCGTCTGATCAGTTGATAACCAATGGGAGGGAGAAGTAGACGACTTCATTAACATCCAACTGAATCAGATCGGTGCCGGAATCCACACTATTGAACAAGCAGCCTCTATTACCGCTAATGCTAACCTACCCCCCTAGGCAACTGGACCGAAGACTCAATTGAGATTGCAGAATATCTCACAACGCTCCGTATACCTGATCGACTACAGCACGGGTCAAGACAAGCAAAGAAGCGCTTCATCAAGAACTAGGTCATCGTGGGCGAGACGCCACTTACTAAGCCGCGGCAACATAATATTTCTGGCATGAGATGTACGCCTATATCAAGAAGGCACTTGCTTCCTGCGCACCTTGCCAAAATGCTTTTGATACAAGGGAGGCAGAGAATCACCGTTTCTCTTAGCCAAACGAGATCTTTGCTGTATGGGTAATAGACGTTCAATTCATGCCAACCTATAACAGCTACATCGCAATTACAGAGGCTCGTTATGAACTGAGTAGTTATCTCGTTGCAAGAGCAATTCGAAAAGTGGACTCAAGAACTATCCGGGACTGGATCTGGGAAAGCATTATCCTCACCTTTGGTGTCCCCTATCTGATAAGAGCAGACGGAGGCTCGGAAAACCGAGGGCTTGTCACTGAGCTGCTCAGAAGCCTTGGATCTAAGCTCAGGACCGGATCAGCGTATCACCCGCAGTCACAGAGACTTATTGAGGTGGTGAAATCGACTAATCACAAAAGCGTTGATGAAACACACTGACGGAGCTGGGACGAAATGATTGAAGCACCTAGCTGCAGCCGTTTTTGCATATAGGGCCACTGGTCGAAACCCGACTGGGTTGTCCCCCTTCTACATGCCCTTCGGATTCCACCCTGTGTTACCTATTGAAACAACAATTCCGACGTGGAGGATTATAAGCTGGGAGCCTAACACGCCAAGTGACGACTTGATTTCGAAAAGAATCCGACTTGAACGACACGAGGAAGATGTCAAATTCGCTACAAGCAGACTGGCGGAATCAAGGAGAATTGCTGCTCTGACGTCTGACCAGAGAGACAGACATAAGACGACACACCGTTACGAGAGGATGAACTGGTATTACTTTACGATACCCCGAGACATATCGACCTGTCCAGAAGTGTGAAACTGAAGTACCGATGGAGTGGTCCATATATCGTTCACAAGATATAAATTGTCCCAGTTCTACGCTCCTGCTCTCTTTTAGGGGACTAGTTTTAGGTAGATACAAAGGTTGTCCTGGAATCAGCAGTGGAATCTCCTGCCGTGGCAAGTTCCCCAGGTGCTTCAAGCTCCCTGGCGGGTGGAGATTGCATTGTCGTATCTAAGGTAGGAGCTATCGGCGCGGGTTCTAGCGACTTGGTATGTGATTAGGTTCGGTGGCACTCGTTCACCTTGGCCTTCTCCGCGTCTCTGTGTGGTATATTCCACACTTTGTACTCGCCACGACCGATCACGACTGAAGATATCTCCCCAGTGAACAATTACCTCCAAGAGTCTCAAGAGGTCGTATATAACTCCGTGTTCGGCTTGAACAGAGCCTACAGCAAATCGTACGTTATATCGTTCCTCGCAAGGAGAATAGCCAGACGATCGTCGACTAGTGCTGTATTGTGGGCAAATAGTCTTATATTGAAAGTGTCATGATCTCTACATAGTCCTGAACGAAGTGGACGGCGGCCATAAGGGCCTTATATAGACAGGAATGACTGATGCCTGTCCCACAGGCAGGACTTGTGTGGTTCCTTGAAGGTCCAACATCTGCACAACCCGAATCAGGAGTTTGTAAATGGATTCACACGACGAGAACAGCAAAAAAAGGATCGCAAAGCGCACGCCGGTCCTCACAGCAGCGCAGCATATGCACTTTGGACGCAGCTGCAAGACGTCCGGTTCCTCACGCCAGCGTGGGCTGATGCCACCAAGGTCAATGTGGCGGGGATGTTGCGGAAATAGCAAATTTAGGTGTTCCTACTATCAGGCTTCGTTCCTAGATATCCAGCTTATCAAATAACAGATACTGCAAGAAAACTGGATTAGGAGCTTGGAAAGCGGCTATCGAGAAAGCCGACGGGGCAACGGCGATGAGCTTCCTATGTCATATGTGAGACTGATAAGATAAGTTCTCAAGGCACACTATGGGAGTATTATCAGTACAAGCAGTTATATGCCAGTGTTAACGGTTGTTATATCGATATAAACGATAACCGAGAGATACAAATGGTATATTAGCTTAAAGCAAGGAATTAGTTATATACTTACGCCCTTATCAATTCTATAACAATAGTTTGGTGCCACTCTTTAGGCATCGACCCTTAAACATAGATAGGAAGCCAGTAATTAATTCGGGTAAGCTCTTAGCTCTTCTAGTATTTAACATCGCCTACGACGTCTCCGTCTTCCTTACGGAGCGCTATCGGATTTAATTGCTCGGTATTTAACTTGGACTTGGGTACACAGGAGCCCGACCAGGCGAACTCGTGGATAACGAGAAAGCTCGACCGAAAGATAGATCGGAGGAAGAGCGATTTACGGTTCAAAGCCTAACCACCTCGTTCAATAGCGCATACATCAATTAACATATCGAGTTCGATGTAGAGAACGCGTATCTGGACGAGCCGAGTGAAGATAGCTTAATCGGACTTTTTACCCATGTTAGCTTAGCACGAGATCCACACGTTCGACGAAACATAGTACCCGACGAGGTATGGGAGAACATGCTACCTAATACCGAGATCGAGGCCTTGAAATAGCAACGGGAAGAACTTAAGAACTGCTAGTACCGATATAAAGGCTATAAAGACGAAGAAGATATTCGCGGTCTTACTAGGCAGATTCAGGCGCAGCAAACGCAACGAAGGAAGAGTATTCAAGAAGGATACCGTGCTTTCTACTTCTATAACCGACCTACGTGGGATATAGAAAGGCAGGCACGGGGCGATAAGGAGGAAGACGAGGAAGAGGAAGAAGAGGAGTATTGCTACCTTCCGATCGACCTCAAGATGCCTAAGCGCGCACAGCTGGCAGGCCTTCTGTCATCAGACGGAGACACTGAGCTTCGAAGAAATGCTAGGACTTTATATCGTTTCCTGCGACCTAATAGTAGCGTTCTGTCAGAAGCGGGAAACCGCTAGACGAGATCAGATCCAACGCCGATGATGCGAGTGCATATGGGGTGTGAATTGTTGTATTGGGAAAGGATGCCAGGTCAGCTATTCTGGCCTGGCAAAGCTCTTTTATAGCTCTTATCTATCTTATCTATAGCTATAGGGTAACCCCCCATGGGGTCACGTATCAGCCGAGCAATGGTCTAGTCGACGGTATTAGTTCAGGAGCCTCCTAAGTAGCAAGTCTTCCCATTGCTTATGCTCAAGACGCAATGCCCCCGCTGTATCGGCGATGGCCGTCTTCCGTATGAGGAAAGAACGTTCGCGTATAGTCGACCGGCTGTAATGAACGATCATTTCGAGCGCGCACACTTAGCTGATATCAAGGTGCGTAAGCACGATAACCTCATTTTCTACGAACACCTTAAGTGCATAGAAGATGGTATTAAGCTATCAAACATAGATCACTTGAGAAATCATGTTCAAAGTGTTTATGGGGTATAGCTCAGACCTCGTCCAGGGCGGTAAAGGTGGAATCATAAATCCCGGCGGTTCTTCGTTAGATATATTGTCTGTATCTTGGATTATGGAGAAGACGTGATCAGAGAATGGAGTCGCTGAATCCGTGTTAGTACGTGCAGCGGTGGTGATACGTGACCCCATGGGGGGTTGCCCTATAGCTAGAGATAAGATAGATAAGAGCTATAAAAGAGCTCTGCCAGGCCAGAATAGCTGACCTGGCCATCCTTTCCCAATACAACAATTCACACCCCATATGCACTCGCATCAGGTGGCTGTCTTCGTCATGTTAGCCGTGGGTACGATATCAGTGGCTACGGCCAAGATGTTGTCAGTTAGGTGGAATTCGGCCTTATCGTTTTCGTCGATAGATTTCTAAAAATAGAAGAGCAAGATGGATAGGTTTGATTTTTTTATTATTATCATCAGGTACGGAATTCGACGTCTTAATCCAGCTCAGCGGGATGGTATTATATTGGCGAGGGTGTTTGGCTAGTTAGCGGGCAGGTGAAAAGTAAAAGTTTTTTTTATTACTCTTAATTAAGGAAAATCGAGGCTATGGCGGCAGGAATTCTGTCATGAAGAAAAAAAGCATTAGTGGTTAGGCATCACATCTTAACAAACGCACACATCAGCGTAATTAGGTCGGTTAGGTTATCGACATGTAGTAGCGACAGTATTACTAGGATCTTCATCTGATATTGTGTTTGTTTGCTAACGTAATGCACGAATTCGAATTCCCGTCGAAACAAACCATCCATTTTATCCAGAAATATCACTACACGGTTGGTTAAACTAGTCTAGTTTATATCAAAGTTATGAAGTCCCGAATTAAACCTGCTCTTAATAGCAATGTCCATTAATTCAAAAAAGCGCGCCTCATCTAGGGATACATTTTCGTTATGCCAATCCTCTTTCGCCCGCTGTTCGCGACCACCACCGCCACCATCAGTATCAGTACCAGTAGCCGGAACGTTTCCGTGAGCGCTGAAGTAGTCATGGCCGAGGGCACCGGCGAGGTTGCGGAATCCCTTGTGCATGAAGCCCTCAGGCAGAATCTCGACAACAGCAGAGAGCTCGCGCAGCCAGAGGCTGTGGGTGAGACCGGCGCCGTGGACGCCGGCCAGCACGTCCGAGTCGTGCACTAGTTGCACCTGCTGGGCGAAGGGTACAACCGCTAAGTCGACGAGGTTGACCTCAAGGCGCACGGGCGAGTCCGCATACTGTCTCTCCAGTGCGGCCACGAGCTTTTCCTGGTCCATCAGCCTGAGCCCCGCCTTACGGCCGATGAAGGTCACGACGATCTTGTCTTTTTCCTGCTCCTTGTCGGCGTCCCAGACATGGAGATTGCGTAGCACGCGCCGCGAAAAGGTCCCAGCAGGCTTGAATGGGCACAGCTGTTGGGCTCCTAGTCGTCCTGCCAGACCGGGTTGCTGGCCCCCGCCAGGGGGATGACGAGTGTGCCCATGTCGGTGCCGACGGGTACGTCGGCCAACCGGATGGTGGGCTTTTGGGCGAAGAGGCTCCAGAGGTCGAAAAAGGGCCCATGTTCTTTGCCGTCGAGGACGATGACTTGCGTATTGGGTGCGTCAGCCGAGTCCCGCTTTCGTATCATCTGCAGCACGTCGATCGTCATGCTGAGGGCCATGATCTCCATCAAGCAGTGCCAGGGGTTATCTGTCCCCTCGCGATTCAGAAGTATTAAATAATGGCTTGCGTTGGTCGGGGATGACGGTGCAGATTCGCTATCCTCCTGACTATTTGGTTCCGGCGGGGAGGGTAATGCAAGTTTGACATACCGGTCGAATATGACGCGTGGCCCAGTATCGTACCAGTAAGACTTGATTTTGTCCAGTGTTTGGGCCGTGTCATTTGTCTCGATAGTATATGGCTTAATCCTATCACACGATAGTTCGAACTTGCCCTTCGTGCCCAGCACCCCGTGTTCCCCGATGCAGAATGAGTCGATGGTTCTGTCGCTTTTCTGGTTATGGAAACACATCAGCTGAGATGGCGACTCGGCCGAACAGTATGCTGACCGGCTTTGACGGAACTATTCGAGGTATGCCGTTTGAAGACGCCGTGGGCAGGGCAGTGGCTCGCCGATGATGTGTTGGTAGTCAGCGGGTGGTTTCAATGGTTCCAAGTGTCCCAAGGGTACCACGGTGTCGATAGTGTCTTCATTGACATAGCTATCGTCGAAATCGAGGTTTTGGGCCGGCCACGTTACACTTCTTAAGTGGCCATACTGAAGTTGCCTCAACACGCGGACAAGAAAGAAGGATATAAGCAGACTAGATAGGAACGTGGTACAGCGTCTTCTCGTGAATAACATCTTGGAAGTCATATTTTCCCATCATTCATAGCACCAGTTGTCATGTCTTACGTAGGTCTAGCACGAGTAATATGGCCAGTCTGGATGTCCTGGAATTATCATTCTTCCATTTTGTAGGTGGCCACTCCGAACCCCCCTACCCCTGGACTGCGCTACATATTGTGCGGGTATCACTATTTGCTTCTTTGTTAAACAGATAACTAGTGGAAATGTCCGGGGAGCTTTATTTGTTAGGACCAACACTAGAACATAATAATCTAATAACCTTCACTGACGCAAACAAACAAATAAACAAGTAATAGTGGATATCTAAGGCCAAGCAGCACATACGACGCACTTGATACGTTAGAACAAGATGAAGTTGTCGAACATATAGAAGAACTTACTAATATCTTCCACTATAAGTTAAATAACAAGCATGAAAATAAGAACGGCGGCAGAAATGGAGGAAACAACGCCCATAACGCTCAGGGCAGAGTTGGCAGGCTTCCAGGTCTAGATTCTAAACTACACCCTTCGCCCTAGCTCGGGCTAATGCGGTAAATTGTCATCTTTTGCGCTAAAGAGCAGGAAGGCGCCAAGAGCGGGCTGACCGGTATAATGAAGGTGATCACGGAGCTCGTGTGGTTCGGGACTGCACCAGACTTCGAATACTAACGCATGTATTTTCCATTTTCCCGTTACTACAGCCAGTTGACTGATGATGGATGGACCCTGAGAAATAAGCCCTTGGCAACGTCTCACTGTTAGCTATCGGAGCACAACGCGTAGAGCAGGCATAGCGATCAATACGATATCTACAGAGTCATCAACAGAGAGACGATTCACTCAAGACATACTACTCTATTTGTGGGCAACAACGGCTTAACTTGGTTGTAATCAATTAGGAAGCTATCGTATGTTTTATATGATCTGTACCTATCTTGGTAGTTAGGCTACTTGGCCCTTCGCAATGGGAAGAATATGGTGCCTGCCCTAGGCACAACACTTGTGTATTAGGTGCAGAGCTCGGGCTAACTGCCTATAGATAGTCCAGTTATCTGTGGTCCAGAACAGTCTACATGGTATTTATCTTCGCCTTCCTTTGTGACTAATACCACTGGGCTAGCTAACTAGAATAGAAAACAAAAGTCAAGTTGATTGAATAAGATGATAAAAAGAGATGACGAGTTGTTGAAAGTCATCTCCGTGTCCCTTAAGAAGTGTGGAAGACAGGGGAGTCCTCCCTGGCCCCACTACTACAATATCTATAACTTTGACGAGACGGGCTTCCTAATAGGTATACCATCCCCCACCACCCCACCGGTAACACCACCCCACCGGTAACCAAATTAGCAGCACCTACACTATAATTACTTCAAGTCCAATTATACGGATCTTTAATAGAAATTGAAGCCATTTACAAGCTGATTGCACGAATAAATAGCGAATTGAATAGAGTTTTCAATTTAGCATTTTTAGAAGGTTACACGATACTCCACATCGGTACTACGGAGTTCCGGCAGCCGTAAAATTCTGATTCTACTAATTTTGAGGCCACGATGCCCCTTTGACTATTATTCTATAAGTACTACGCTTCAGTACACCAAAATGCCGCGCCGTAGCTGGACAGAGGACCAGATAGTTGAGGCTATTCTAGATGTTACCGATAATGGCCTGTCGCAATACAAATCCGCCCAGAAGCATGGAGTGCCGCAGCAGACCCTTTCCGACAGAATCAAAGGCAAAGGGTGGCCAGACAACCCTATTATTATTATTATTAAATACGCCGTAGGCTCGAAGCCCCCGGTACCTCTACTAGTACTCCCGTATGTCAAACCGTGCCCTAATGGCTGGACTAAATACATACGCTGCGTCGTCGGTTCGCCCTATTGGCGACTGCGTTGCGTTCACTACCATACTACGTTGGTTCTCAACCTACCAACAAAGTCCCCCCTGAGAAGATCGATGCTATCTGGGCCTTGAAGCTGTCCGACCCGTCCCTAGCAGCCATCTTACAATAGTCCCACTAACTACTGGTTCTCCTGTTGCCGTTGCGAGGTCTCTGCGAGAGTATAGTGGCCGTGGTGCGATGGCGGCCCGTAATCGTTCCCTCGGTCCTTCCAACAGCCCGCAAAAGAGGATTACGTGCTCTGCCGTCTCAGGGGCATCGCCACAGCGGCATAGCGGCGAGTACACGCCAAAAGCCCCTGTCTTGAATAAGAAGGCTGCTAGTCCTATTTTTTCCGTCCTGATCTGGCACAGCGTAGACGCCTCCAGTCGGTTCAGGCCGAAATACTTGCCCCCTTTCGGTATCTGCATCGAAGGGCCCTCCGGTTCCTCAGCGATAGCGCGTCGCTGGCGATCGTGATGCTCTGCTCCGGTGAGCCATCTCTTCCTCCAGTGGTCGAGGAGGGCAGCCGGGAGGCTATAATTAAGAGCTCACAGGGCCGTAGTTGGACTACCTTTATTGAAGCCACTACAGCCGATGGCCGCCTTCTAGAGCCAGGTATAGTGTTTAAGGGCAAAGAGCTCCAAAAACAGTGGTTCATTGACCAATTCCGAGAGATCTGTCCCCACTGGCGCTATATAACGTCACCGAATGGCTGGACAGACAACCATATAGGCCATCAGTGGCTTATTGACGTATACTTGCCTCAGACGCAGCCAGCAGACCCCTCTGATGCTAGGCTAATTATACTAGATGGCCATGGATCCCACGCCTCTGTAAGTCTTCTAGTTATTGCAGTATAACTGTACTAACTGGGCTATATAGGATGAGTGGATGACTACGTGCTTTATGTACAATGTATACTGTTGTTACTTACCGGCACACACTTCCCATGGCTTATAGCCAAATTACAATGGCCCCTTTAACGTATCGAAGTCGGCCTATAGGGCAGAAGTCAGTAAATTGGATAGAATGACGGATGCGGCGCCAGTTGATAAAGTCAACTTTATCCGGTGTTATAGTACTGCACGCAAGGCTATAACCGACAAGGTCATTAAATCTCGCTGGAGAACTACTGGAAATTGGCCAATTTCAAGGGCCAAGGCACTACGGCATCCAGAAATCCAGGTAGATGTTGATAAAAGGGGCACTCCACCGCCGCCACAAGCCCCTGGACTTGACAGTGATTCTACACCCCGTACGAGCCGTCAAATCCGCAACTTTACGAACAAGCCAAGCCCACATAGCCGCTATAGGCTACAGAAGGTTGCCAAGGGGGTTGAAGCCTTAGAGGCAGAGTTGGTAGCCGAACGCACTAAGGCTACGGCGTTACAGGAGGAACTAGACCGCTTGAAAAGGGGTAAAAAGCGCAAGTCACTGCCAAATCCGAATCGCCGTTTTATAACAGTATCAGAAGCACTAGCTGCAGGGGAGCCTATAACCCCTAATAATCGTCAAGAACCAGCCAATAATGGGAAAGTTGTGGAAGTTGAGGATGAAGGGGTTGATTCATCAGAATCAGAGGCTACGGCCGATGATTTGCCGGCCGCTGTAGTCACACGAAGTGGTCGTACAGTCAAGAGGTGGCGATATTCTTAAACTCCATAACAATAGCTACATAATGGTATAACTACGGTATAAATAGCTTCAATATGTACGGAATTATGTGTAACGTGGTTTAACACCGAGTCGCGCATATCACCGAGTCGCGCACTTTTTCAACTTTTCCAAGCTTTTGACTTCAACACTTATTTCCTCAACAACAACACCATGTCAGTTCAAACCCAAGAAGCCAAAATCAACCTTGCCATCGAAGCTATCCGATCGACCAAAAATATGAGCCAACGTCGAGCAGCAAAGCTATACGGTGTACCCGAGTCCTCACTCCGTGACTGAATCCACGTGTCAGGTGCAAATAAGCCACAGTGGCTTGGCCTGGACAGGGGTCGGAAATGTATAACTAGGCTGCTGTGACCCCTCTTCTTTTAGAGAGGGCAGCGATTAACTTGTCGTTATTGAGTCCCCTATACTACGCTATTGGTACCTACCTGGTGACTGGCAGCTTGTTTCGCTTGAGCACTCTCGTCCTTCACTTTGCACTTGAAATCCCGTGACATATTAATCGCTCCAACCTACCAGAGGGAGTGCGGACCGTTGGGCAGAGTGCGACAGAGCTTCTATTTATCGACAATGACCTCCGGAGTGCAGACGGAGGGTAGCGGGCAAGGGTCCAGCTTTGACTCCAACACACAGCCCGTTGTGACCCCTTCGGGACAAAGCGACGTCGACAATTGTACCGATGAGGAGCTAGACAGAGCCTTGGCGGCTGCAGAAGCCAAGCGCCTCATACAGAAGAAGAGAGACCGACTTACCGCCCTCTTGAGGGGCGAAGATCCAGACGAACAGCCGGCGGACACCAGTGCCCGTCCGGGGAAGAGATTGAGAGAATCGACTTGGTGGAAGCCATCGATGAGCACTTTACGATACAAGGCTTCTAGTTGGGCAGAGCTCAAGGTTTTTACCTTTGAAGTTAAAAACCGCTGTGCTATCGATTCGTCAAACACAGAGACGGAGGTTGACAGTATTCGGTACGCCACCAGCTGCCTAGAAGGAGGAGTCAAGAGACGTTGGATGGCCTATGTCCAGACGCATTACCAGGGGGACATCACAAACACTAGTTGGGACACTATGGAGAAGTGGCTCTACAATGATGCCGACGATGATGACACCCGACTCCTTCAAACCATGATCAAGCTTTATGGACGAGACTCCAGCTACCATACGACAGGCCAGAAGCTGCAGAACTTTTTGGAGGATTACGAGACGTTGGAAGCGGAGTTGCCCCAACCCTTGCCAGAGCGATATCAGGTCGGACTTCTACTGGTCCGGCTGGACCCAGATATGATCCGCCAGATCGTATCCAATGGGATGCCAAAGACCCGAGAAGAACTTGTTGGCGCAGCGAAGCGGGCGGAGACCCTATTACGCGGCAGCAGCCAAGGTCGAGCCAATAAGCCGAGCACTACGGGGTCCCATAATAACCGACCTGACCGTCGTACGGGCTCGTCAGATCAAAAACCCGATGGTTCGGCATCCGATGGTGGGAAACAGCCACCCAATAGTAACCCACCTGCATTGCGGTTATCGTCAGCAGAGTGGCTTGCGAACGCGGAGTGCTATTCATGTCACAAGAAGGGCCACCTCGCGGGTAGATGCCCAGAACGGGTACCAGCGACACAGCCAAACCAGTGGGCGAGAGGCTTTCAGGCGCCTATGTCAGCTATTTACGGAAGCACCAGTCCTACGGCACTACGATCCATCACTACCCATACGGGTGGAGACCGATGCCTCTGCATTCGCGATCGGAGCAGTCATCTCACAGCTGGAGAATGGTGTTTGGAGACCAGTGGCATTTATGTCCCAGAAGTTGAAGGGCCCGGAGCTGCGCTATAGCACACCGGAGGCAGAGCTGTTTGCAGTTGTTCAAGCTTTCAAGACATGGAGGCGTTATCTAGCCTACTGCCAGCACACTGTTGAGATACTGACTGACCACCTCAACCACAAGTACCTCCTTACGAAGGCCCAGCTCAGTGGAAGACAGAGTCGATGGCTTCAGGACCTGATCGAGTTCGACTTTGTGATTGAGTACCGACCGGGTGCTAGGAACCCAGCAGATGGTCTGTCACGAAGACCAGACCACCAGATCAGAGATGGCGAAGCTGAAGAGGCGAGGCGTGAGCACCTCGCTGAGTTCACAAGGAAGTTTAAAGTGCCACGTGTAGGCGCTACGACCATTAGAGCGCGGGTAAGAAGGCACCAGCTACCTACCGGTGGTCAACCGGCAGGGCAGCCAGGAACGGCAGAAGAGCTATTGCCATCCCTGGAAGATGATATTCGGGCCTCTCAGGAGAGAAGTCCTTTCGTACGCTCAGAAGCGTGGAAACAGAGAGGCAAGGACAGGAAGACCGGAGATGCGCTGTGGCAGAAAGGCCAAGATAGGCTGCTCCGCTTCAAAGGTCGTGTGTTTATCCCAGATGACAGCCCTCTCCAGAACGAGCTGCTGCAATTGTTTCACGATAACCCAACTGGTGGTCACCAGGGGGTGACAAAGACGATTGCCCGACTTAGCAAGTCGTACTTTTGGAATGGCCTGGCCAAAGACGTCCGGACCTACGTACCAACGTGCGCGATCTGTCAGAGAACTAAACCGCGGCAACACCTCCCTAACGGCAAGTTGGCTTCGCTGCCAATACCAGGCCGACCGTGGCAAGAGATCTCGTTGGACTTCATCACCGGCCTCCCACCAGCAGTGTCACTGGCGGGGCGAAAGTGTGATGCTGTGCTCGTTATTGTCTGTCGGTTTACGAAGTACTCGTTATATGTACCAGTGTCGAGCAAGTTGACTGCAGATGGCTTTGCGGACCTCTTGTTCTACCACGTCCTTAGGCCATTTGGGCTACCTGACGGGATTGTTTCAGATCGTGGATCCCTGTTTACGAGCATATTTTGGAGGACGCTATGCCACTGCTTAGGGGTAAAGCGACGGCTGTCTACAGCGTACCACCCACAGACCGACGGACAGACTGAGAGACAGAACCAGAACCTTGAGCATTATTTGAGAACTTACTGTACCTTCGAGCAGACAGACTGGCCTCACCAGCTTCTTCTGGCGGAGCACGTGTATAACACTTCTAGGCATTCGGCGACCGGTACGTCACCAGCAGAGGCACTATTAGGATACCTTCCGAAAGGGCCTAATGACACGAGAGAATCTGGGCCGGCTAGCATACGGTCCGCTGCTGGGGCTCAAGGGCAGCTGAGATGCAAAATCAGCATGCCGCAATTGCCCAGTTGTTGGCAACCAGTCAGGTTACGTATGAGAAATACTATAACCGTGGCCATCTGGACATGAAATTCAAAGTAGGTGATCCTGTTATGCTCTCTACTAAACATATCAAGCAGAAGAGACCGAGTCGAAAGTTGTCAGACAAGTACCTGGGACCCTTCAAGGTCGCAGCAGTAGTTGGTGATCACGGGTTGGCGTATCGTTTAGATCTGCCATCCCAGTACAAGATACATAACGTGTTCCCAATCTCGTCGTTAGAGATTTGGAGGCAAAGGGATGGTGAAGCACCAGCTCCCCCCCTGGTGCCTATTGTTGAAGAAGACAGTGAAGTTTATGAAGTCGACGCCATATTAGCCCACCGTGGTGGTGCATGGCGAAGACAGTACTTGATCAAGTGGAAAGGTTACGGCCCAGAAGAGAACTCTTGGGTTGCAAAGAAAGATGTCAGTGACGATCTGATTCGAGACTACGAGGCCAAATTGGCCACAGCCAGCTAGAGGCTGTCCAGACACAAGAAAACACCTGGTACCAACCAGGTGCACAGCACGAAGCACAACCATGACCACAACCTCTTCGAGGTTCCCCAACACATCAGCTTACCTTTTTAGGAGCTGTTTATGCATCAGTCTCCTCACCACCGGCATTCTCTTCATCACCGGCAATTTCCTCCAGATCATCCTTGTGCTGCGAAGGAAATTAGAGGAATACGATCATTAGGCATGCACCAGCTGACTTACCACTGCTGCATACGTCTCCGACAGCTCCTGGTGGCAGGTCAACAGACGCTGCAAATCTGATGACTGTGCCTCCAGGGTGGTGCGAATCTTGCTCAACTCGATGGCTGCCTTTTCTGCAGCGGCAGCCTGTCGTTCCAGGGCCAAGAGCTTTCGCTCCTGTTGAGCTGCAGCAGCGCCCTCATCGACAGCCTTGCGCTTATCTGCAGGCATGGTCTTCAGGTTCTTCGCAGTTTGGAGAGCCTTCTTGACAGAGATTTGAGCGGTAGTAAGGGTCTCCTACCAGCTGGTCAGCATGTCCTGACCTACACCTCAATGATTTGGGAATTTTACCTTGTGCTCAAGGTATCCCTCAGAGACAACCGACTCAACGAGCCGCACGAGGTCGGCCGAGCACGCTTGTAGCGAGCCTTGGGGCTACTTTAGGTCAGCCAAGTCCGCAGGAGCGGCCTTGTTAGGGAAGGAGCGTACTGCTGAGCAGGGCTTACCACCAAGCCCGCGGCAATATGTGCATTTCGTGGAGCCGCCTGTCCTATTGTTAGTAAGGCGAGCTCAGATCTGAGAAAACAGAACCTACTGTCGTCGTCCTCACAGACAGGAAAGGTGTTGCCAACTGTTGGCTTCCATCTGGTCATGCGATCCAAGCAGCGAGAGCAGGCTGCATGGCGACGTGTGTAGTGGCGCCCGGAAATTCGGGTGCAGTCAGGGCGCAGTTGTCGGCTGGCCGACCGAGATGGGCCTGCTGACATAGTGACAGGGTAGGATCAGGTTGATGTGGGGAAAAGAACCGATAGGATGTGATGGAAGACTGGGTTGAATGTAGGAAAAGAACTGTTGAAGGATTAGGGGCAGAATGGGGGGAAAGGACACCAGTGGAGTCGCAGGAGAGAATCGGTGAAACCTGTGTGAGGAAGTAGGACTATTGGGCAGGCATGGAGTAGAAAAGGGATGGAAGATGGTCATTGGCTACTACTACGGAAATATAGGAGGAAAAAAATGGATTGTAGGAAAAAGGGGACTCTCGGACAGAAGCCAGTCGGTTTGGGTGCTCGGGGTGCTGCCTACTCTCTATGGGTTGTCACTAGCCGGAGCTGATTCTATGGACGCTGCGAAGCATATCGTGAGGCACAGGTGTGATTCCTGGTGCTGACTGAGACGAGCTCGACTGCTGGGCCTACGGATGAGTCCCAAGGGTGACCAGTTAGTTGTGTGTCTACGGGAGGATAGCAGGTGGATTCCTGTTGTTCTTCCCGGAGGCGAGTTCGACTGCTGGGCCCTCGGATGAGTCCCAAGGGTGACCAGTTAGTTGTGTGTCTACGAGAGGATTGCAGGTGGATTCCTGTTGTTCTCTTGGAAGCGAGTGTGTGCCTACGGGAGGATAGCAGGTGGATTCCTGTTGTTCTTCCCGGGGGCGAGTTTGACTGCTGGGCCTGCGGCGGTGTTCCAAGGGTGACCGGTTAGTTGTGTGTGCCTACGGGAGGATAGCAGGTGGATTCCTGTTGTTCTTCCCGGAGGCGAGTTTGACTGCTGGGCCTGCGGAGGTGTTCCAAGGGTGACCGGTTAGTTGTGTGTGTCTACTGGAGGGTATCAGGTGGATTCGTGTTATTCTCTTGGAGGCGAGTGTGTGTCTACGAGAGGATCGCAGGTGGATTCCTGTTGTTCTCTTGGAGGCGAGTGTGTGTCTACGAGAGGATCGCAGGTGGATTCCTATTGTTCTCTTGGAGGCGAATCTAAGTCTATGGTTAGGAGCAGATGGATTGTTGTTTTGGTTGTCGGAACTAGATGTTCCTAGCTTTGGGGAGTCGACCTTCAGAGGACCCCAGAGGTACACCTGCTGAGTACCTTCGGCTTCTGAGGACAGAAGCCATAGGGAGAGGGCGTCCTGTCAGGTGCAAATAAGCCACAGTGGCTTGGCCTGGACAGGGGTCGGAAATGTATAACTAGGCTGCTGTGACCCTCTTCTTTTAGAGAGGGCAGCGATTAACTTGTCGTTATTGAGTCCCCTATACTACGCTATTGGTACCTACCTGGTGACTGGCAGCTTGTTTCGCTTGAGTACTCTCGTCCTTCACTTTGCACTTGAAATCCCGTGACACCACGGTCGCACCCCACGTACCGAAATCTGGCCGAATAGCGCACTACTCGCCAAGATAGAGGAAAGAGCTATTGTTCAGCATGTACTTGACCTAGATTTGAGAGGGTTTCCTCCCCGGCTAGAGGGTGTGGAAGATATGGCCAATTCCATCCTCGCGACGCGGGGTACCCGACGCGTCGGCAAGCTCTGGGCGCATCGCTTTGTAAAGCGAACCCGAGAGTTACAGACGCGTTTTTCTCGCTCGTATGACTTCCAGAGGGCCCTCTGAGAGGATCCAAAGATTATTGAGGACTGGTTCCGGCTTGTATAGAATATGAGGGCCAAATACGGGATCCAGGACTGCGATATGTGGAACTTCGACGAGACGGGCTTTATGATGGGCGTTATTCAACGCTCGATGGTCGTTACCTCGTCTGAACGTAATGGTAGAGGCAAGAAGGTCCAGCCAGGTAATCGGGAATGGGCCATGGTGATTACCTGTATCAATTCGGAGGGTCGTGACATCCTGCCATTTCTGGTAATTCAAGGGAACTATCACCTTGCTAATTGGTATACTGAGGGGGACCTACCAGCCGATTGGGTAGTTAAACCGACCGAAAACGGGTGGACGAACAACGAGACTGGTCTAGACTGGATCAAACATTTCAACAAGCACACTACCTCGACCAAAAGAGGCGTGTATCGGCTGTTAGTATTGGACGGGCATGAGAGTCATACATCGGCCGATTTCGAGTCTTATTGCAAGTCTAACGGCATTATTACTATCAGTCTGCCCCCGCACTCGTCTCATCTAACCCAGCCACTTGATGTCGGGTGCTTTGGGGTCTTGAAACGTATATACGGTCGAGAGATTGATATATTTATCAAGTCCCATATTAACCACATTACTAAGGTCGAGTTCTTTATCGCCTTTAAGGAGGCTTATTTAAAGACAATAACCGACAAAAACATCAAGGCAGGGTTTCGAGGGGCCGGCCTAGTCCCCCAGGACCCTGAAGCCGTTATCTCGAAGCTGGATGTTAGGATTCGATCCCCTACATCCGTTAGCCCCTCTCTTCTAGATGCTGACCCTTGGGTTTCGCAAACGCCAAATAACCCGACAGAGGCTCTCTCGCAGTCTGAGTTTGTCAATCGCCGAATCGCCAGACATCAGGGAAGCTCTCCGATCCAAATTTTTGATGCTGTTGGCCACCTTGCGAAGGGTATAACTCGATTAGCCCATGAGAATACCCTCTTGAAGGCTGAGTGCTCCACCCTTCGCAAGGCAAATGAGGCACTAAGCAAGCGTCGGAGGACAAAAGAATCGCGTGTCCGGCAAGGAGGTGCACTTACTGTCGAGGATGCCCTGGACATTTTGGCCCGGAAGGACGCGGAGGCCCAGGTAAAGGAGGACAAGCGCTCTAGGGGAGGTAAAGAAAAGGCTGGTCCGTCGACTGTACGACGATGTAGTAAGTGTAAGAAGACCGGACATAATGTAAAGACTTGTCAGGTCGAACTATAATTGTCAGATGTATATAGCTCTGAATGAATTTCAATAAACTTTAGTCTGTTGTGGCTTTTTAATTGAACTTGAAATTATAGTGTGGTAAAAAGTGCGCGACTCGGTGATATGCGCGACTCGGTGTTAAACCACGTTAAGTAAAGAGGTCCCAGCTGACAGGGGTTAATCATCTTATATGATAGATCAACTTGTAGAAACTTTTCATATTTCCAAAGTTCAGCTTGCTTCTGGGTGCAACAAATCATAAGGAAGTGCTTATAATCTTCGAAGCGGTGGATATGTCGAATCCAACGTTGGCTTCGGGGCTTATTCTTTTCTAGCTCAAACTGTCGACATGCTCCTACGCTAGATTAGTATATACGGTGCATATGCATAGGATATGTACGTACCTGCAAAATGTGATCCGGCTGGGAACATCATTAGCCGCTCTTTTCGAATAACAGCCTCGACACGATCTTCAATATTCAAGCCATCTTCGATTTGGCGTAGCGTATCAATGCCAAATACATCTCGTATTGATGCTAAAACTCCAGACAGGAGAAACTTCCCTATTTTCTGATTAGTAGAAGCTGTGCATATGCATCGTATCTCGACGTACTTGTGGTAAGAGTTATCACGTCTGGTCCGAAGCTGCGAATCTGGTTTCGCACATGCCGTGCAACATCAGCCGATATACGGTCTGGGAGTGGAGAATGATGGTTATGATCGCCCCTGAAGACGATAATAAAGTAGCTGAAGCGGTGCATATTCTTCGGAATATAGATATCGATTTCGACCTAACAATGCTGGCGCCAGACTGGCACTTGGCCTCTGCGATGATCATGACCTATAGTTTTAGCATATGCAATGCATGAACAATGGACATACATACCACAGAATCTCCTATCTTGGTTAATACGACCAACCCAGGTGCATTTATCCTTTGGACCCTGGATACCAGTAATACAGAGGTGACGAAGATAATCGATATCAATCCGAGACGTATGCCTAGGAATCGACCAAGCTGCATGCCAAGGTTCCATATAACAACTTCTGCTACAGCCGACAAATATGTTCTACAGTTATTAGCGTTATCATGTATATGCACGGCACATCCGGTGCATATACAAGAACCACACACCCCATGTCTCTCAAAAACCTTCATTTGCTGGCCGCTACAAGCACCCATAATGCTACCAAGCGGCTTACACGGTGCATATCCAAGATTATTCCAGTCTTTTAGAGAGGAATTGTACCGACTAATAAAGAATTAGTAAAAGATCTTATATATAGAAAAGGGGAAATACTTCTCAGTCTCAACTTTTAGTAACTGATGGACCGAAGAAGAGCTTAAAGAAGGAAGCTCCTTCTGTAGATCGTGTATATGCGCTACATCAACACGGTTATACGACTCTTGTATATTTGTTAACCTCTCGTCGTGACAACCACAAAGGCGAACCCCACTACACTTGTATGCCATATGCCATGCTTTGTTCTCTTTCATATTTGCACTATATGTTGTAAGTATAAGCCATGCATACGCGAGACATGTACAAACTCGAGAAACTTCAGCGAAGTTGATGTAAACTTCGTTGTACTACCCCTTCCCGCATAATCAAATTCAATCTAAGATACTTAGTATGTGTACGATTTATAGAATAAATATAGATATACGTACCTGGTCTTTGATTTTTGTAAATGCAGCGCGGATATTATTATCCGTAGGGTTATCGGGTAAGAGAGGCTCTCCACAATGAACAAAGGTTGCAATACCTTCTCTTTTCGTATGTGGATAGCTTGGTATGACATAGTAGTCCTGTACCTCTTCAGCGCAAATACGGTGTGTACCATTACCGCTAATAAGAAGGCCGAATTCTTGAACCATTTCCTGTCTTACATTAGCACTACATATGCGGTGTATATGCAAAACCTAATATTATAATGTACCGGGTTGAACCCCATGTGTGGAATCAGCTCGGGCGGTGTATAGTTCGCATTCCAGAAAGAGCTATATGGATCGCGCCGGAGACTATCATCTTCGTCTTCACCAACCCCGTTAAACCAGTAGGATAGTCTTTGGCGGTCTGATGACTGGTCTGCTTTTTCTATGCATATACTCTGCATAGATTCGATATCTGTATTAGTATCTGAAACGTCTTCTTCGAGGTTATCCTGGTAGGGAGTATTTATGTCGGTGATTTCGTCGAAAAAGCCCGGTGGCACTGTATAGGTATCGTCTTCATGTTCGTCCATTTCTATTATGAAGGAAGAGAACAATGTGAAAATTTGCTGAAATTTCAGCGATAACATATTATGGGGTTCTGTTTAAGGCTAGTGGAAGTGGGACATTCATCTCCTATCCACACATTGCAACAAGATCTCGGACAGTCATATCGGTGCAGCCCTCCTGAGCTCCTCACGGCACCTTCGGTGGAGTTCATTCAAACTACTAATTTTTGTACTGTAAGGGTGCCTGTTACCACACACTGTATTCGAAATTTTCAACTAAACAGGAATCACGGTATCATGTAGTATGCCTTTGTCGTGCGACGCGAGACATCCCGCAATCGGGTACCCGCAGGGTAGAGCAAACGACAGGTGGCCGTAAGGAAAATATTTAGAAGCTCAAACGATCTTTCATGTGAGAAAAAAATCTGTTACCTTATTCCCCTTATTTGCCTTTCCTATCGCTATTTTCTACTATGGCATGTCTTCGCGATAGAAGGTGCGCAATCTGCCGGTTCGAAATCGAGGATAGAGATACTATTATAGGTAATAAACTGCCCTTAGATTAACGAATTACTAATACTAACTCTACTGTTCTACTACTAGTCGAGATAGGAGACTCTATACTAGAGTTCGAGTTTCAACGCTATAAGGTATTTTCTCCGCCTCTCAACATCGGAGATGATAAGGACAAGGATATTACTATACATTTTTGTCTTAATGCCGAATGTGAATTCAACAATCAACTTATACCGTGGATTCATCGAGCATGCCGCCGTATCACTCGTTTGCAAGTCTCTCAGGATCTTCTGGCTGCATTGGCCTTTTCGTTCAGCCCGAGTGTTGTCAACAGAAGCAGAAGAGAGAGGCTACTGCGGGACGACTTTGCTTCTCACGCGGCTCGAGGGTCGCTGTGGCCTAAAGAACTTCCAACTGAGCTGTGGCATTTAGTCGCAGACCACTTTTCATTGAAAGATTATGATGCTTTAGTAGCGGAGCGATTGAGTCGGAAGTTATCGACGCCAAAAGAGACTATCCTTGACCTCTCGCTTCCTATTCATGTCACATACAGAATGATCGATGGCGCTCGCTACATATCTGGTCTTAGAAACAGGGATGGACCAGTGAGGACTAATTCAATTGCGCGAATCGAGACGGCAGAGGATTACTATGGTGTTAGACAGTTACGTTTTCATAATGGATACGATATTCTTATCGTTCCAGAAAACATAATTGGGGAATCAACCGTCTGGTGGTCTATATCTTCGGGAAACCAGTTCCTACGTATATCACACGATGTAAGCATATCTTTACTTTATGTATTCTGTTTTACTAACACTTCCTAGGGTCTCAAAGTGCGCCGGATACGCCCGCTCTCTCCGACAACAGACCTTAGTTCAGTCCGCGTCTCAAACCCAGATATAACGCCTATACAAATCGTTAAACTTACTCCTGATCCGGCTTTCTCTTATAGCAAGATTTGGATGCAACAACTTAGATGCAACTACCCGGACGTGATAGGATTCTTTGCACAACTAGGCATCTGCGGAACGATTACTATCCGTGAGCATTTCAATGGGATTGATCCTCAGATTTTCCACCAGTCTCAGAGCTTTCCAGGCGAATCAAGAGTCACTATTGGGCGGATGACCCATGCGGATGAAATATCAGTGATTGTGAGTAAATACGATTTATTTAAGTAACATTAGCTAACTTGTTAGGTGGCGACAAGTCGAGGTCGACAAGTCCTATTTGGACCATATATAAATCCTACTAAGCTTGGATTACGGTACTATAAGATAACACAACTCCCGCGCACTCCCTTCAAGATGTTACTGCCTTATCGGCATTCTATGCCGTCTTGTTCATCAGCTTATATGTCAGTTATCGCTTTCGAAGACTTATTCAAGATGGAGCATTCACCCCCCACGGTAGCAATGATATCTCACAATTCTCCTAAAGGCAACAGCTTTTGGTTCTATTCATCTTGTCAGCTTTATTCTGTTACCGAAGTTGTTCTTTGTCGGAAGAACGGTAAATATAACGGTCGAGTCCTCGGGATGCTCCTTTCCTATAGCGACGGTAACCGCAGCTCTGTCGGGCAATACCGGTTAGCCTGGGCATTGGAACGGATTTCAGTTTGTGGCGAGTTCTTCAGAGTCAGGTCAGTGAGACACAAGGCTGTAAACCGGGATGTGGATCTCGAAGTAGGCGTTGCTTCTATTCAAGGCCCATCACATATGTGGAGGGTGATCCCTTGGTCTGGAAAGCTATCCTGGTGGTTTACAGAGCACACTTCCGTAATTCAACATCACCCGGCCTAATTATGAAGTTCAAGACATTATAATTTGCCGGATCTATATGTGATCTTGCGATTCCAGACTAATGAATTAGTTTCAATACAGAAAAACTAGCGTTTCTTCCCCTTGCCCTTAGGCTTGCCTTTGCCTCCGATCTCTGTGCAGTAATATTTCAACTTCCTTGAAGGAACATCAGCCACCCAGTATTCATTATGTTCGTACCATATATCCAGTGGAAGAGCCAGCTTGTGATTGTCAGGCGTTCGATATACTACCTTCGTGCGCTCCGAGTTAGGCGCGCCTCCTTAACTTCAACCCAGTACCACTCGGTTTTGGTCGGTTCAGTTACCGCCTCATTTTGTACATCCTTCTCTTCTGTGGTCAATATTGCTTGAATGCTTTGAGGATCAGGTTCGGGCACATCTAACATCTTCTCGCCCGAGCGTTGTCCAATAGATCCCCTAATGAGAGGAGGTGCTGCTTTTAGCGCATCCATCAAACTGTTCCAGACTCTTGCTCCATCAAGTGTATCAACATCAAGATACCCCGCATTGTCGTCAAATGAGAGATATGTTCCATCGGGGTAAGCCGTCCATGCCCGAAATGTTACACCGATTGTCGATAACCCGTATAGGTGTGTTAGATGATGAGCATTGAGCATCGCTACCGTGCGTCCTTCCGTCTGAGCTTCGACCTCTTTTTTCCCTCTGCCGGTGGTTTTGCTCTCCTGGACCAATAAGCGTTTAGGTCTGCTATAGTCTTGATCCCAAATCTCATATACGTTGTCGATTCTCTTCCTGATGCGTGTGCATATGGGGTGTGAATTGTTGTATTGGGAAAGGATGCCAGGTCAGCTATTCTGGCCTGGCAGAGCTCTTTTATAGCTCTTATCTATCTTATCTATAGCTATAGGGTAACCCCCCATGGGGTCACGTATCACTTCCTGTTGTCCGCGCGGCCCGGGGGTGTTTCAGACTTAGGGTGACAAGAGATATAGTACAAAACTAAGTTAAGGAACAAGTTTGACGAGGGGTGTTCCACGTCAATGGCTTTGGCGTCGTCGTAGTAAGAACGGTAAATCCCCGAAAGAGGGATAACCATCGGCTCACCCACGTCGGGCTTGACGTGCATTGGCACAGACATAGTAAGACTGGTAAATTACGAAGCAGGAGGTGACTTGTGCTAGACAGCGGTACTAAGATGCGGCGCCTTGTTATTTCCACACTAGACCTCTATCTTAGTGCCCGGGCTGCTAAGTTTGAAGAACGGCTACGGCTTAGCGGGAAGAGAAATCTGCTTCGCAGCGCGAGCGCTAAAGCGTCACATATACTCCGGCAGGATAGGCCGGCGAAGAGGAAGCAGGCGTCTCAGCTACTCCGACCGGCAGGGTACACTATGGAGAAGGAGGCCCGGGGCTCCGAGTGGATGAGTGAGGAAAAGGAGGTCCCGGCTGCCCTCCTCGGCCACTGGAGGAAGAGATGGCTCACCGGAGCAGAGCATCACGATCGCCAGCGACGCGCTATCGCTGAGGAACCGGAGGGCCCTTCGATGCAGATACCGAAAGGGGGCAAGTATTTCGGCCTGAACCGACTGGAGGCGTCTACGCTGTGCCAGATCAGGACGGAAAAAATAGGACTAGCAGCCTTCTTATTCAAGACAGGGGCTTTTGACGTGTACTCGCCGCTATGCCGCTGTGGCGACGCCCCTGAGACGGCAGAGCACGTAATCCTCTTTTGCGGGCTGTTGGAAGGACCGAGGGAACGATTACGGGCCGCTATCGCACCACGGCCACTATACTCTCGCAGAGACCTCGCAACGGCAACAGGAGAACCAGTAGTTAGTGGGACTATTGTAAGGTGGCTGCTAGGGACGGGTCGGACAGCTTCAAGGCCCAGATAGCATCGATCTTCTCAGGGGGGACTTTGTTGGTAGGTTGAGAACCAACGTAGTATGGTAGTGAACGCAACGCAGTCGCCAATAGGGCGAACCGACGACGCAGCGTATGTATTTAGTCCAGCCATTAGGGCACGGTTTGACATACGGGAGTACTAGCAGAGGTACCGGGGGCTTCGAGCCTACGGCGTATTTAATAATAATGTTATTTCCACAGAACTTCCTGTGTAGCCCCCATATTTTAAGAGAAAGATTGGATCTATTTATATTTGAGAGGCACGAACACTATGCCTAACCTCCACATGCCGCATATGGAAGACAGTGCCCAGTCATGAGGGCTCGATGCTACCTTTCTCTCCGCTGTTCGAATATGTAATACTCCAGCTATAAACACTCGCCCTCGCGTACACGACGCGTAGTTCGTGTGTCATGACCTGATTCTAACAGTGTAGGAGGTGTTCGGAAATTACACTGCTTTGATTCACATAGTAACTTCCCTCACTACAATTACGCCACTTTGAGAGAGACCTATTCTGAAAAACAGGGGTGTTCCCTGGTATTAGTTTCTATATGTAGTAACCAATCAACTCCTGCACGCCTAGCTTGGGTTGCCATGATCCCTACCCCCGCTTACTGCAATGTCTGTGTGTGCAAGCCACGGTCATGCATTGCTTATACCATAGTACCGTGCATGCTTGCAGGAAGCAGTGGTCAGATCCCTGTAAAAGGGAAGTGCACTCATGGGATGGGGCAGGAGTTGTCTCGTCCTTGTTAGTCTTTATTGGGCTATTATTGGCTGCCTCCACCGTGGCATCATCATTCTCCTTTGTGATATCTTTGGCGCCGGTTGTTATTTTGTCCTCGCTCGACGAGAACCCCAATTAGCAGATACTACGACTTGTCGCGACAAAAAATAGTCGAGCATCTTCTGCACATCAGCAGCATCCCACCCCTGAGGACGAATTTAAGTGCCACATTACCACACTTATCGGTAGTTCAGGCAGGGGTTGTAGCACAGACTTAGGGAGGGATAGGAGGTTTAGTAGTCGTTTGGCTACAAGTTTACCTGTATAACCGCCCGACGCGGCTTAAGGGCCCGCTATATCATCTATAGCCCCTTAAGGGAGTACTTGTAGAGATACCGAGGGTTAACACCTACGGCGTATTTAATATTATTTTATTTTGTCCCCGTCCTCGTCCTCGACCTCGTCCTCGACCGTAACCAGAGCCAGGTCTCCCTCTCAGTCACAATTCTTGCAGGGGGGACCCAGGGATCGCTTTTCTCCCGCTTGCGGCGAGGTTCCACAGCTTGCGTTGGTTCTTCCTTCGTTTTCGGTTCGCTTTACGGCTCGCCATCCCTAGCCATTGATCTCGCTCAATCTGCTTTTCGCTCAGGGGTTCCTCTAGCTCGGGAGCAAGTGAGATGTTTTTGCCAAGGAAAAGGCACGCAGCAGCTAATCTTCTGGGAGTGGGATGAGTATAGCAGTACCTCGCTGTCCTGATGGCGTACTTGCCCGGCTTCTCTTAGGTGAGAGCATTGCGGGAAATTCCAACCGCAATACCGCCTCCCGGTCAGGGCCGCCTTTGACCTCGATATGTCAGACGATCCGCCATGGCGAATGAGCCGAAGATATTGCTTCAAGACTTTGCTCTGATCAGGATGACGTCCATACGGAGTACAGAGATATCCAACCAGAACAGCTTCTTTTTGACACCACTGAGATTTCTCTGCCGCTACTGTGGCTCCCGCCAGTTCGCAGTTGAGTAGCACTTTATCGATATTGCTGAGGTGTTCTAGGACAAATCATCGAATTTCAGGCATCACTAATTCGTTGTCATAATCGTGCCTTGGTCCTTTAACGCATATATCGTCAATGAATGGTCGGCAGATATGAGGGATAAGGTCGTAAAGGAGGCGGACCATAGCTCTCATGAATTGAGCCACAGAATTCGTAGCACCTTGCGGTAAAGTGCACATTCGATTGGGAGTAAGCGGTGTTGCTCAAGTGGTGGCGTTAACAAGTCAAGAAGTGGGCTTGGGACCGGCATCTGCCTGACACCGACAACAACGGAGTATGGCCAAGGAAAGAGTTGGCTGATCTTAAGTTGACCTAAGTAGTATCAGGTTTCTTTAGGGCTTATGCCGTTTGTCGGTTATCTACGATAGCTAACTAATCGATTAAATATAATGAAACGAGTAAGACGTCTATCTTCACTCAAGACTCGGAGGCGGGGTTGGACTTACTAATCGCTCGAGGGTAACCCTTGTTGTCCTCGTCTCCGTCGTTCTTCAGCCATAATTATTACCAGTGTTCGCCTCAAAGTTGCCCACTAGGTCCAGATTCCAAAGCCTGAAGCAACATCCGAAGGGTTTCTCTCATCATCACTATTGACGGCTTATCTTCTTTAAAGGCATAGGAAATTGATATATGGATTAGAGATACCAGATCTTCTCTCCTGATGAACTAGTGAAGAGTCCGGTCTTTGAATACTACGAATAGTACCAGCACAAAACACTATTAACTAAAGGTAGTTGACCGTCAGCTTATTAGGGGCAGATATCCACAGGAGTACTTACGTGTAATATATCCCAAAAGGGTTCAGGGCAATATAATACGACAATACCTCCTGCAAGTATAGAATTGTCTTCTTCAGCTGCTCGAGGCAAGCTGTAGCACGCTCCAAAATCCATGGGGCAGTGTGTCGCGCTACGTCTTCTGTTCCGCTCTGGTTGGACCGGATAATTGCCACAAGACTTGGTCGGTATAGACTGACTAATGCAATATGGCAAGCTATCCGACAACGGAAATCACTATCAGATTGATAAGATTTCAATAATAAAACCAGGTCGCCTATTCGGTTACTAGGTGGTCCTGCGACGAATCCATACAAGAGATCGTGGATATGGCTTGTGTGACGGTAAATCGAGCTCATTTGAACGTAACTCGTATCGATTAGATCGGGAGCAATTTCTAGATTAGGTAGTGGTATTCCACCACGTATCGTCTCGGCGTGTCGCCGCCAGGGGAATACATTCACAATATCTCTATAATTATTAGCAATAGAATTAGCTAATTAAGTGAGTGTCTATACCTTTCGATCGCGAAGCAGCTCTAATATGAAAGTAGAGCTTTATTGTCTTCATCTGTTCGAGGTGCTTCTACCTTAGAGTCCATATCTCGCAACCGTTGTAAATTTTCAGAGTTAGTAAATTAATCGAGATATATAGTAATAGCCACTTACTCAAAGAGATTTGATAATTGTTAAATAGCGTCCTGTACTTCCATATAGCTTTCTCGGACATTTCCCTGGACTCCCAAATATAATGCCGTTAGGATAGTTGCACGGACCCTATCGAGAGATTCCTGCATACAGCCCACCATAATGTTACGGGCAGCCATGAAGTATCGATCTCCTAACTCTGTCGCTGGTTTGCTAACGGTCCCTAATGCCAGCACAAGGAGTGCAATAGCGCTACCTATAGAGCCACAGAATAACGGGTTTGATACAAAAAGGTAGGGGGACCCACTGGTTTGGTGAATCCCATTCAATTAGATACTATAACGTTGCGCACTGCTGCATTATAGCATCCTCCCCCCTAGGTGCACGCATCAGGATTGATAGTAGTTGATCCAATGTTTTGTAGCTCGCTTAACATTCTAGGAAGGTCCTTGAAGGCGATAAGCGGATGGAATACATGTATGTTCTTTTTGTATTCATTGACGGATTCCCAGATCTTCAGCGTATTGAAATCGTCTTCCACCAAGCTACTAGGCAGAAGGGGACCGCACTGTTTTTCATGTGGCCAGGTGAAGTCTTCGTTGATCCCGACGTCTTTGAAGATAGGCCGGAGAGTCAACAATGATCCACATGCCAGTTTCACTGCTGGAGTTGAGCAGTGATCGAATGAGTTGATCAAATTCGCTGGTTTCTGTAGTTATTACTTGTGTTGTTGCTGCTCGTGCAGTAGCTTTTCTTGATAGCGTTTTTCAAGCTGACTCAGACGGTCCTGTAGAAATGACTCAAATCCTTTTAGAGAGTTGAAAACTGCCGCAAACTGGGGGTGTTTAATCTCCATTGTAAGATTCGTTGCATGCCTATAAAGGTGTTAGGGACTGTTCAGCATTCTGCCTTGTAGCTGATGGCCTTACTCCAATACACACTCGATCCCCAATTTCTGACAATTCAAGCATGGCTTTTGTTTATCGCATCTTGTCTTTAGTGACCGACATTTGAGACACGCTTCAGCACATACTTGGCGTTGTGACATTGTTCTGACACTCGGAGTGAGTTGAAACTTCCAAAGTATGGACTGTGGAACGACCCAGCTTTCGTATTGCTGATGGTCAACATCAGCTCCCTATAAGTACTGGCGTGGTCAGCCAGCCGCCTTTGGTGTAATAAGCCGAGGGGCCTTCAGGGCAGGAAACAGACAATCCACGGAGGAAATGGTCGACAAACGGGCCGATACTACAGCATTCTATACAGGGATCTTCCGTAGAGAGGTCAAACACTTGGAAGAAATCACCGGGGAATACAGATCAAGAAGATGTAAGCATGCTTGGACTTACCTTATCCAGTGCTTTGCATCTGCGCATCTGCATGTCAAGTGCAAACATGGGATAGCTGCTTTACCACGGTTGGTTTTAGATAAGGACAGCTGCTGGAGCGGGCTTGGTTGCATCTAGCCAATTATACCTCTGACCTCCCCGTTCCCAAAGTGCTTCCCGATCCACGGTGAGCATATTGGACTCGACTTTAGAAATAGACGGCTACGTACGGGCCCGTGGTCCGATACGTATGCAGTAGAACTCTACACCTTATTCGTTATATTTTGATAGGCAAAGCGTTGAATATTAATAGCTAAATAGCAGGTCGTGGTAATTATTATGCTAGGGTGCGGATAGCTGACGTATCGTAAAGTATTGCAGCTTTGAACTAATAGGATGGGATATTTGTGCACCCGGCGTAGCCATGCATTTAGCCACTCCCGGCTGCCGACGTCGACATCCAGGCTTCAGAAGATTTGTAATGCGGTCAAGGTATTCGATTCAAACACGTCCTTCCTCTAAGTAGAGGCCGCGGCCAGATGTCGCATAGCTTGTAGCTCCAGGCTCCAGGTAGAAGTGGGCAGTTTTAAGCCCATCGAGCAGTTTGCGGTCGGAGCCACCTAACTATGGTCCATTGGACATATGCAGAGGTTGACCTTAACTTGCGGAGACTTGGGTAGACTTAGGAAGACTTGGGAGACTTGGGGAGACTTTGGGGGACTTAGGAGACTTGACGACAAGGACATAATCCTCCGAGACAAAGAAGGTTCTAGGACCGGGGCCTTTCCCGTGGGGAAACAAAAAGAAGCTCCGGAACATCCCAAGTATGCATAGTGACCGCCGCCAGCCTATCTAATTTATCGTTTATTTAGATCCTTTATAGTCGTAAATACCGTTAGGTTCTTATAATTAGTATAATATGATCTATAAGTTATTTTTCGTATATAAGTCGACTTTCGCACTTTTTCTAATATTTTAACCTTTTAACTTAGTTTAACATAGTCCACGGTCCAATTGCACACTTCGGCAGATTTTCGTACGCTACCACTTTGACCTGCGGTTTTTCACCACATAACTATGGTTAGTTCTTGGAATGAAAGTGATATGATTCTAGAATTACATGCGCTTCAATCTGATCCAAAATTAAGTATACGTCGCGTTGGTCAGATCTATAACGTACCTTTTAGAACCCTTGCGTATCGACGCGACGGTAAAACCGCTCGAGCGATTACGCGATCGCCAACGCAAAAGTTGACTCCTTCCGAAGAAGAGGCAATCGTACGAAATATAAACGACCTAGATTCGCGAGCATTTCCTCCCCGATTGAGTGGTGTTGAAGATATGGCCAACCGATTACTTCGAAGTAGCGACGTGGGACGCGTCGGCGTCAACTGAGCCTCGAGCTTCGTAAGACGATAACCAGACATCCGGACGCGTTTAAATCGAAGGATCGACTATCAGAGAGTCCTCTGCGAAGATCCCGACGCGTATCGCGCGTGGTTTGACCTGGTACGGAATACAATTGCGAAATACGCGATCCAGGAGGAGGATATCTACAACTTCGACGAGACCGGTTTTGTGATGGGCCAAATCTCGTCCGAAATAGTCGTGACGACTTCTAATCGGCGCGGAAGGCCTAGAGCAGCCTAGCAAGGAAATCGGGAATGGGTTACAGTTATTCAAGGCGTTGGGTCGTCCGGTTATGCCCTCCCTCCGTACATCATTTTCGCCGGCAAAACCCACCTCTCGTCATGGTACGAAAACAGTCCATTACCGCCTGATTGGGTTATCGCAGTTACTAAAAATGGCTGGACTACGAACGAGAGAGGCGAGGATTGGATAAAACACTTCGATCATCACACCAAGTCTCGTACGAAAGGTACTCATCGCCTATTGATCCTCGACGGTCACGAAAGCCATCACTCGACCGATTTCGAGGTATATTGCAAAGCTAACAATATCGTCACGCTTTGCATGCCTCCTCATTCGTCGCATAAGCTCCAGCCTCTTGATGTTGGTCGTTTTCGCGGGTTAAAAAGAGCGTACGGAAAAGAAATCGAAGATCTCATGCGAGCACATACAAGTCATATCTCGAAAGAAGACTTTTTACCGGCGTTTTTAAACGCGTACAACGCAACTTTCACGGTTTCAAATATCCAAGGAGGTTTCCGAGGGGTAGGAATAGTTCCGTACGATGCAGATTATGTCATATCACAGCTCGATGTGAAATTACATACGCCAACACCTCCGGGTAGCTCGGCTGGTCTCCCCGTCCCTTGGGAATCAAAGACTCCGAACAACCCAACCGAAGCCCAATCACAAAGCGATTATGTGAAAAATAGGATTGTACGACATCAAAATAGCTCACCAACGTCAATTTTTGCTGGAATAGATCAGATTGCCCGAGGTACAACGAAGGTTATGCATCGGCTTGCCCTTTTAGAAGGCGAGGTCGAATCACTTCGAAAGGCAAATGAGACCTTAAGTCGACGTCGCCGTGCGAAGAAAAAACAGCTACAGAGTGGAGGGTCACTTCGTATACAAGCTGGATAGGACCTACAGTCTCAACGAGAGGTTGATGGGCAGTTACATGACGGATTTCGTCAAATTGGTGGTCGTACAAGGCGGCGAATTGCGCGTGTACGGCGCTGTAGAATCTGCGGCGAGCCCGGACATAATGCGCGCACTTGTGGAAATGATGTAGAGACGTCTGAAGATAACGATTCTGAGTAGTTTCAATTGATGATAGGCGTTGTGGTTGAATTAACTTATACATTGTCGTATAAGGTCTGCCAAAGTGTGCAATTGGACCGTGGACTATGTTATGCCATCTTTCAAAGTGACGACGTCAGCTCCTTTCCTAGTCCCGTCTGTACTGCCACGTATCTGCGGACCCTCTACAGATGGTAGTATTGTAGTTGGTCTACTACAGTTTGCGATTTGTTGCGCTTGCTGGATGATCGTGCGATCCTTCGCATCGATTGTCTCCTTGAGACTGTTGATCATCCGCTCCTGTTCCCGAACTCGCGCATTGTAGTTTTGCAGCTCCGCATCTAACTCCTGCACTTGTTCCTCTAAGTCAGCGATCCTCTGATTCGGATCGATATCCTCCTCCGTCGGGCTCCGCGTTCGTGGTTCGACTTGTGCTTCTGGCTCCTTAGACGTTGCGAGCGGGTGGTTTTTCCTTGGTGCCATCGTTTCGGGGGAGGGGTTTTGTTAGCAAGATCAAGTCCGTCGGTATACTGTCGGGCTTGATTTACGGTCGAGAATAATGTCACGGTGAGCACAATTGAAGAGTCAAAACACTCTAATGCACTGTATTGACTTAACGATTCTCGACAAGGAAAGAAAGAAACTAAAACAGGCTGGCTCACATCTGAGGATCTTCAATCCCGCCTTCAGATGGCCAGTGCTCCTATGGGTCCACAGCTAGTGGGTTTCGTGGCATCGTGACACCGGCCGTCACACATTTCATAGATAGACAGTCTCTACTTCAGTGATCAATCTAAGCATCAATCTAACCCGTTGGTGAGGCAAACTGCCTTAACGACTCTATTACCGATTACCCTACTTGAATACTTCAGTTACCCAAAGCACTCTACTCCATACGTCAAACCCCGATATTATTGCTTGAGGACTCCGCAGCAGGACTTACTTACTAGCACAAACCCTTACAGACTCTTTAGTGGTTTACGCAGCTAGACTATTAGAGGTTTCGTTACAATCGCCTTACCGTATACTCGTAACCGTAAAATCGAATCTATTATAGACCGCTGTACAATGCCCTTTACTATCGTTATTTATAGTATGGTTCTATAGCGGAGGGTCGTTACTATCGACCTCAGATCCCTTAAGCCGGCGCTCTACCACCGTCATGTTAGGCTAATACCTAAAGGCAAATACCTTAGCCCTTCTTCTACCTTACTCAGAATACCTTATATCGACAGTCACATTGAAGAAGCACTTTGGAGACTAGGCGGGGACTCTCGTAGGCTATGGATAGTCTGGGGCCATAGCAATTGTGAGCCTGGTATCAGGGAGGTGGAGTCACCTGCTATTGTAGCGGGGTAAGGCCGGACGCCAGGGAAAATAGGTGACGGAATGGGGAGGATCTTTTGCTTTGATGAAAGAGGCTTCTGGCTGCAACTTTCTTTTCGAGGACAGACCCTTTTTAATGACTTCTTCATCTTTTCCATTCGACAAGCAATAGTTAGCCATCATCGCACTCTTTTCAATGCATGCAATTCAGAAGCTTCAGTTCATGATTCACAGTTCATGATTCACTTACACGTTCAGGGGATAGCTTCTAAGAATCCATCTATCCTTTCCATTTTGGCCTTGACAACTATGAGACATTGTGTCTTGCTCTGATCAGAGCAATCCAGTACTAGAGACAGCTTCAATTCGACTCCTAGGAGCCAGACGTCCTATTCTGAGAATTATCCCGACACGAGTCTCAGAGGCACATCCGACCAACTTGCGCACAAGACTTATAAGAGCTTCGCTCTTACGACCAGCACCATGATCTTCGTCTGATCAGACCAACAGATGTGATCTATTGGTACTGGGGCCGTCTGTTCAGTGTGTTAGGTAATAGGTACATCCTACCGACCGCCTGACCCCGTTTCACTATGTACGTTGTGGATGGAGAATTCGGAAGATAAGCTGCAAATACCTCAGCCCTTCTTCCGCCTCGTTCAGAATACCTCATATCGACAGTCACATTGAAGAAGTACTTTGGATACTAGGCGGGAACTCTCGTAGGCTATGGATAGCCTAGGGCCGTAGTAATTGTGAGCTCGGTATCAGGGAGGTAGAGTCACCTGCTATATACGTTATAGATGAAGAATTCGGAAGATAAGCTATCAGGATAACATATCTAAGCGCGCAAAGATCGGAAGCGTAAGGGCGAGTTATTATAAGGTTACTAGTACAAATGACCGAGGGCGGTCACTATATAGGAAGTGTTGGACCTTCAAGGCTACTCCGTCAAGACTGCCAAGTCAAAAGGAGAAAAGTAAAGCCGCAAACCGTACGAAGTATGGGTCAATATGACCTCTACCCATTGAACCACACAAGTCCTGGCTATGTGGCAGGCATCAGTCATTTCTGACTATATAAGGCCCTTATGGCCGCCCTTTGCTTCTCTATGGACTCTCCAGAGATCATGATACTTTCAATACAAGACCATTTGCCCACAATCCAATAACTAGCTAGAATAGCCCTTATGTGTGTGTATGTGTGTGTCGAACGCGACTGCCGTAGATAAGAAGAAGTAACCTGCCGAGCCTAGGTCGCGGCTACTGTTACGAAATTAAGCTACTGAACCTCGAGTCGGCCTCTAAGGATCCTACTACTCGCCTCTACTGCCCTCCCTTCTCCTAGCAGCTTCACAAAGCTATCGACTAACTATACGTATATAAGGCTTCAGTTTAACACCGATACTACACCTCGGTGGTATTAAAAAGGGAAGGGGGAAGGGGAGGGAAGGGAAGGGAAGGGAAAAGAGGAGAGAGGGGGAGAAGGGAAAAGGGCAGGAGGGGAGGACGGGAGGAGGGAAGAAGGGGAGAAGATAGAAGGGGGGCAAAAGGGGAGAAGAGAGAAGGGGGGGAGAAGGGGACAGGGGGGAAGGGGACGAAAGGAACGAAAGGGAAGAAGGAGAGGCGAAGCGAAAGAAGGAGAGAGGGGAAGGGGACGAAGGAGAGGAGAGGGGTAGCGCTAGGTCGGTACGTACGTACGTATATATATAGTATATAGGGAGGGAGGGAAATACGGAACTCTTTAGAGTCGGGCGCTCCTAATGAAACGGGGTCAGGCGGTCAGTAGGGTATACCTACCACCTAACACACTGAACAGACGGTTCCAGTACCAACAGATCCCATCTGTTGGTCTGATCAGACGAAGATCGTGGTACTGGTTGTAAGAGCTTCGCTCTTACACGTCTGGTGCGCGAGTTGGTCGGATGTGCCTCTGAGACTCTCGTCGGAATGATTCTCAGAACAAGACGTCTGGCTCTGGGAGTCGAATTGAAGCTCTCACTGGCACTGGATTGCTCTGATCAGAGCAAGATACAGGCTTTTGTCATTGTCAAGGCTAAGATAAGGGCAGAATAATAGGATTTCGAAAGTAGTGTCTAAGTGCACGTAGGAATGAACCGCATAATTGAAGGGCTAGCTAAATAGAATAGAAAACAAAAGTCAAGTTGATTGAATAAGATGATGAAAAGAGATGACTAGTTGTTGAAAGTCGTCTGTCATCTCCGTGTCCCTTAAGAAGTGTGGAAGACAGGGGAGTCCTCCCTGGCCCCCGTCACCTACTTTCCTGACGTCCGGCCTGGCCCCACTACATTCCTCCCTCAGCTTCATCTCTCTGTCCCCAGAGACAGTTGAACCTGCATGTTTTACAAAAATTCCCCTTCCCACCGTACATAGGTGTTCCATTGCCCTCTGATCAGGGCATCCTTGCGCTGCGTTCCCACAGGCGGCCTTGCAATGTCACTCAAGTTGAGGACAACCGGCTCTCGAATGATCGCAGGCGGGTTTCTGGCCTCTTCGTCCAATTGTATGGCGATGAGAACGAGGTCCCTTACCGCTCTTGTACTAAGCGCCTGGTTGGCTCTGAAACTGGTGACCATTGTGGCATGTGGCCCATGTTCGGCTGTCGATCGATCCCCGGGGCCTTTGGCAATGCGTGTGGTAACTGCGTAGCCATGGTCGAGGGTGAGAAGTGTACTTTTCGTGATGAAAAGTATGACCATCTCCGCGCCTCTTCAAAGAGGGATCCTCCTCCTGTGAGCGACCTCTCTGCTTCCAATTCCCCCACAGTCATGCTCTTTAACCTGGATGCATTCAAACGACTCTACAGTCGGTACAAAGAACATATCGCCCAGGCTGGTTGCAACGAAGGAGGGGCTCTCTGAGCCAAAGGAAATTCTGGTGGGCAGGGCAAGGGGTTCTGGGGATGAAGCATGTGTTAGTTAGACGTAATGCACTTGCAACGCTGAATCATTCGCGCATATCAACATATTTCCTCCTACTACACGTATAAGTGCTGAAAGTAAGAAAATTCTGTGACTGAAAACGCCTATGAAATGAAACACAAGGACAACATAAGGAAATAGTACGTCTGATCAGACCAAAAGTTCATCACTGTTGACTTTACTGTACCCATCAATCTTCTTATTCGGAATCCTGACCTCGACATTGGTCACGGGCTGTCTGTCGGCTTCAACAAGCCAATCCTCTTGTTTCTCGACTGGTAACTCTCCCACGTCCTTGTAAGTAGTTCCCTCACATCCATTCTCGTCTTCTTTACCTAGCCCGTACGCTAGTCAGTTGTCCTCTCTCTCGTCAAGAGGCATCCAAAATCCCCTCTCGTCTTTTCGAAAGCGTTTGAGACGGTCTGGAGCGTAGGTGCCTTGAAGTACTGTGCCGTCGATTTCCGTCAGCTGGAAAGTGGAGAGCGGTGATACACTGTGAACAATGTATGGGCCGCGCCATCGGTACTTAAGTTTCACGCTTCTAGACAGGTCGATGTGTCTCGGGGTATCGTAAAGTAATACCAATTCACCCTCTGGTAAGGGTGTGTGTCTCATCTTATTTCTGTCTCTCTGATCAAACTTCAGAGCAGCAATTCTCCTCGATTCCGCCAGTCTGCTTGTAGCGAGCTTGACATCTTCCTCGTGTCGTTCAAGTATTCGGATTCTTTTTGAAATCAGGTCGTCCCTTGGCGTGTTAGGCTCCCAGCTCATAATCCTCCACGTCGGGATCGTTGTTTCAATCGGTAGCACAGGGTGGAATCCGAAGGCCATATAGAAAGGGGACAACCCAGTCGGGTTTCGAACAGTGGCTCTATCTGCAAAGACGGCTGCAGCCAAGTGTTTCGACCATCTCGTCCCAGCTCCATCAGTGTGTTTCATCAACGCTTTAGTGATTGGCCGATGTCCCACCTCAATGAGTCCTTGTGACTGCGGGTGATACGCTGATCCGATCCTAATTTTAGATCCAAGGCTTCTAAGCAGCTCGGTGACAAGCCCTCGGTTTTCCGAGCCTCTGTCTGCTCTGATCAGATAGGGGACACCAAAGGTGAGGATAATGCTTTCCCAGATCCAGTCTCGGATGGTCTTCGAGTCCACTTTTCGAATTGCTCTTGCAACAAGATAACCACTCAGCTCACAACGAGCCTCCGCAATTGCGATGTAGCCATTATCGGTTGGCATGAATTGAACGTCCATTACCCATATAGCAAAGATCTCATTTGGTTGAGAGAAACGATGGCTTTCTACCACCCTTATATCGGAAGCCTTTTGGCAAGGTGCGCAGGAAGCAAGTGCCTTCTTGATATAGGAGTACATCCCATGCCAGAAATACTGTCTTGCCGCGACTTGGTAAGTAGCGTCTCGTCCACGGTGATCCAGTTCTTGATGAAGCGTTCTGATAATAGTCCTCTGGTGTTCAGGGTCGTCAATCACTCGCCGGCGTCCTCGGCTGCCTTTTGTTCGCTTCCAGAGTGTCCTTTCCTGAACCAAGTAGTCAAAGGCTCTATGCTTGAAGCGCTTCTTTGCTTGTCTTGGCCCGTGCTTCAGTCGATCAGGTATACGGAGCGTTGTGAGATATTCTGCAATCTCAATTGAGTCTTTAGTCCAGTTGCCGAGGAGGGTAGGTTCAGTATCAGTGGTAATAGGGGCCGCTTGTGCTGTGTTGTGGATTCTGACACCGATCTGATTCAGTTGGATGTCAATAAAGTCGTCTACTTCTCCCTCCCATTGGTCATCCAACTGATCAGACGGACCAGAAGGTTTGCGTGAGAGTCCATCTGCGATAGTGTGTTTCTTTCCAGGTATGTACCTGATCTCGAAGTCGAAATTCTTGATCCATGCGATCCACCTTATAAGCAGAAATCCAGGGAGATCCGAGGCAGCGTCGTTGATTTGAACAATGAGAACTTTGGCATCGGTTTCGAGGATGAAATGAACCCCATAGACATAATTTCGTAGCCGCCGTAATGCCTTCAAGACGCCCCTACACTCACGTTTTGTGGCATCATAGGTCAACTCTGCCCCTTTCCAAGCACCGCTTTCATATCTCGCAGGTCTCTCGACTCCGTCAATCAGTTGGCCTAATTGAGCACCCCATCCTTTGCCGCTTGAATCAACTTTCAGGACAATCATCCCTGCCCCCTCAGAGTAATCCAAAGTTATCAAGACCGGGGCAGTGGTAAGTTTTTCCTTCAGCGTCTCCATAGCAAGCTTCTGATCAGAGCTCCAGTGAAAGGGAATATTCTTCCTGAGGAGCTTCGTGAGCGGCAGTGTAATGTGGGCGTACAGCTCGATCCATATCCTGTAGTACACCGTGATCCCTAGAAAGGCGCGGACCTCTGAAACGTCGTTACATCTCTCCCACTCAATGATCTTGATGACCTTGGCCTGATCAGGGGACCTTCCATTGGTTCCGCACACGTACCCTACAATTTTGACAGAGTCCTGGCACCAAATAGTTTTCTCTCCGGAGATAGTTGCTCCCGCCAGTTCGCATTTAACTAGCACCTTGTCGATGTTAATCAGATTCTCAAGAACCCAGCGACGAATTCCAGGATAGGCTTCTGTGTGGTCGTGATATGACTTTGGTCCTTTCACTCCAATATCGTCCAGGAAGTTCCTTGCCACATCGGGGATGAGATCGAAGAGCATTCGAGCTAGCTGTCGGCAGAAGTGTACTACAGAATTTGTTGCCCCTTGAGGTAGCCTGGCCATTCTGTACAGGCCAATGGGAGTCATGAATGAAGTGAAATTGCGGCTTCGTTCGTTAAGGACAGACTGGTCATAACCTGAGAAAAAGTCCATCAAGGTGACTATCTTGCACATTGCGAATTTGGAAGCAAATTCGTCAACGTTTTGTGGCATAAATGCATCTCGGATCATCACTGCGTTCAGCTTCGTAGCTGAGTTGATCAGGCGCAGTCCACCATCCTTCTTCTTCACAAGGAACCAGGCGTTGCGATAGGGCGCATGAGATTCTTCAAGAAGACCCTTCTCAATCCCGATCCTCAGCATTTTAATGACTTTCTCCGTTAATGCTGCTGGAATAGGGATGCTTTTTGCTTGCCAGGCTTTATGCGGTACAGTCCGAATCACATAATCTGGGCTGATAGAAGGCTTGATTTGACCGATTTCCGAGAAATTCCATGAGATAGCTGCCTCCCTTCTGGTGAGAATTTCCTTGAAGAGCTTAGTCTCTTGGTTATTGAGCATGCTTTTGATCTGATCAGAGATCTTCTCCCATCGTGTGGGTGTCAATCGGGTTCCCTGAGGAATTTTCGACCACTTTGGTGTGATCTGTGAAAGTGGTCCGTCTTCATCTTTGGGCCAGATCGTGGATTGTGCTTGTTTCCACTCCTCTTGCTTCCAGTTCAAGCTGCCTGGTGGGACAGATTGGTCTTCAGGATCCCCATCAACAGGGTGGACCTTCACCCCTTTTGGCTTGTACAACGTGTTAATTCCAGCAGTGATCTCATCCTTCATCTGATCATCAGGCACTTGTCTTATGAGCCGTCTTAGTAACTTCCGAACCTTCTTAGTTGATGGGTTTGCGATAATAGTTTCGTCCGGGTCTAAGTTAAGGAGTTGTGAGGTCGAGATACCGGGGTCCTGATTAGTTTCCTCAAAGTGAAGGACTGACGCCTGATTGGAGTCCGTATTTGATTTGGTCGGCCTCTGATCAGACTGATCGTGTTTCGTTTTAGGCCTCAGAAGGCCGGCAACGCGGCCAAGGCTACCGGCTGTCCGTTTTCCGGAATATCCATGACATCCTTCAGGGCGCGCTTTGAATCTTCCACAGTTCCCAGAGGTACAACAATTTTCGTTGAGCCGAAAATCAGGTTGCCAATAATAGTGGAGTGCTCAAAAGCGAAAGACATCCTTGCTCTTATGATGAAATTCATGCCTAGTAGAAGAGGCTGAGAGGCAAGTTCATCATCAATGACGTACAAGGGGACCTTGATACACCTTCCTGCTAGCCATATCAGAGCCTCAACGACTCCTCGGAACATTGTTCGTTCTCCAAGGCTACTAGTAAAGCTTCGAATAGTGACTTTCGTTGCCCTCATCACGAGTTTGTGCTTGTAGACATAGGAGAGACAGATAACACTGGTCTCAGCTCCAGTGTCAACAATTCCAGTGATAGGGGTCTCTTTACCGGTTGGTCCGATTCTTACTGCTATTCGGAGTAGAGGTGCAATGTAATCCGTCACCTTCCTCAAGTTTGCTGCTTCGGTACTCGACTGATCAGATGTAGCCACATTCACTTGTGCTAGCGCATTATGGGTGTTGACGCCTGGTGGTTCTGGGGCCTGCGCTTCCTCCCTGGTGAGATAGACAACTTCATCCCAGGATTTAGAATTGGTCGCACCCTTCGCAGCCGTGGCTCGCTTCATTCCTTCGACGAATTCGGGGCAGAACTTGCAACAGTCCTCCCAAGTGATCTTGAAGTTTGTCTTCAAATTCTCGCTGACTTTGTCGGTCCAGAATTCCACAGCAGTTGAATTCAGAGTCCCTTCAGTAGTGCCTCTTTCAGTAGCGCCTCTTTCAGTAGCGGAAGGCTTGATAGGCTCTGAAATTGACTCAGTGGGCGAGGAATCATCCGTAACAGTCTGATCAGACGAATTGCTTGACGTATTGCCTGGCGTATGTTCAGCTTCAGGGTCCTCAGAAAAGAACGCTCTTTTAGCTCTCTTCGTATGCCTAGGTAGCAGCCCAGTTCCTCGACGTTTTTCCGCAAGTGCAACCTCGGTTTCACCAACGTCTCCTAGTTCCTCGATGATTGATCCGGTAAGGATTTCTGTGACAGGTCTGTCAACTGGTCGGGCCAAAGGTTCCCATGCGTAGTCTCTCACGGGCTTTTCGGGAAAGAATTCTTCTCCTTCAGGGCCGAGTATCGAATTCACGTTCACACCCGCTGATGGTACTGCAGCTGGAGTGGGAGGTCGAGCCAGGGCAGGCTGGGGCTGATAACGATTCTGAGATGGAGGAGTGGCGCCCATAGTAGGTCCACTTGACGCATGGTTGTAATCCCGCCTGAGGTAGTAAGCCGCAAGTTCTTTCAGTTTTGGATCAAGGTTATTCGATATAACCCAGTCGCACACTTCCTTTAGAATAGGCTTGCCTTCTCCTTTGGCTTTTCTCTCAATCGAGGTTGGTACCTGGATTGTGGTCTTTCGCTCTAATCGCCGCCGAGAAATTAAGCTCTGTGTATAGGATCCCATCGAAGAAAGCCGTCACGATTCAAGTCCTTGAGCCGAGTACATCGTGAAACAAGATGACCAGGCGTAGCGCAGAAGAAACAGTTCCCAGTTGTAGACCCCCAGCGATTTGGATATGTACGATACTGTCCAGTCTCGTGGTCGTACAATGTGCCCTGAGTGTTTTCTTGAGTTCTAACAGCATTTACTTGAGCCTGGTGCTGATGATTGCTGTGCTGGGCTTCGCTTTGCCACGCAGGTGGCTGATAACCCCAAGGCTGCTGCGGTTGATATGCAGTTCTCAAGTCGTCCATCTGGTGTCTCTGATCAGACGGACCTACTTGGTTTAATCGTATTTCTAAGGCTCGGATCTTCTCTGTGAGGGCATCCACATCTGGCTGATTGAAACGTGGAGCTCTCTGTTGTTGCGATTCTTGGACCGTGTGAGCAGCTGGTACCCCTATTTCGGTAGCTCTCTCCGAAACGGCAGACGCAAAGTACTCAGGACTTCTTCTTCCTCCCTGATCAGAGAACAAGCTCCCCTCTCCTCGTTTCATGTGGTTGTACAAGCTAATCTTAGTTTTCGCCCATCCTCGGACCAATTCCTGGGCCAAGCGGTACTCCATCTTAAAGATCCCTTCGTACGTCATTTTGGCTTTGCTTAAGATGTCCTCGAGGCTGTGGCTGTGGATTCCCTCAAACAAGCCTCGAGTGCAGTCAAGGTCACTTGGGACTCGAGCAGTACCCTTCGTCTCACTAACTCGAATCTGATGATCAAGACAGTACGTGTAGATTTTCGACGGGTTTGACCGCGGGGGCTGGTTTTCGAGCTCTTTGAGGCTATCATAAGCGCTTCTGAGTTGTCTGGGGTCTCCGATTGCGAAGGTATTTTTCAGAGCCGTTAACCCGGCGCTCCAACTGTCAAGTTGATCGATCGCAGCCTCCACCCTTTTCTGGTGCGTCTTGTCCTTGGTCCAGTATTGGATTTCGGCAATTCTTTGAGCATCACTGAGTCCAGCCCTGTCGAAAATACGAGCGACTTGTTCGATCCAGTCGGATACTCCATCACCGTCAAAACGGAGGTGTGAGTATTGCGCCACATCAGGAATAGTACATGGTATAGCAAAGGTTTGAGCCATCTGGATCGATTTCTTGGTGACCTTAGCGGGAATGGTCTGATCAGACCTAGGTGAACAACCAATTTCACAATCGAGGACGTCATTGTTTGATACGGTTGTTACCGTTTCACTTGTTGTTGGTGTGATAGTCGGCTTTTCTGTGTTGGCTATCGGGATTGAGAGCCTTGTGATGCTCTCTTTCTGCTTGTCATGTCTCAGGTTTGATGTCGAAGTGCCGGTGCGGGATAGTCAGTCCGAAGGTGCGTGTCATGCCGTTCTCGACGAGGAGTTTTTTGAAGAAACCTTGGACAAGATTGGGGCCATTTACCGTGTAATAGTTGTTCAGAGCATTGTTGAGGCTTGCGAGTCTTTGGAAGTGGTCGTGCGAGAAAGGGACGATAGCAACGGCCAAGGTATATATGGAGGCCAAATGAAATTGAGCGAAGATAAGAGCTGATTGGGGATTGTATTTGAAAACTCAAGGTTGTATCTTGTCCGCATGGAATTTGTGGCCGAGATTCCTCAAGGGGCCTGGGCTTTTATAGATAGCTATAACACAGTTACCGCAGGATGGGTAAAATTCCCAATACATTATCGCACGCTTTATTTTATCCTATGCAAGAAGCATAATCCGTTCCTGGTCTGCCTCCAGTCACTCAGTAGAGCAGCAGGCTAGAAGCGCATAAATAATCCCCGGGGTGCCTCTACACAGCATCGAATATCATTAGAGGGTTCCAGAAGCGCATTATTCGTCGCTAGAGTACTTATAGCTAGTTGATATTATGAGACGAGGAGCGCATAATCCTCCCCCGGTGTATTGATATCCAGGTGGCAATATGCCAATCATCGGAGGGCTGGTGGAGCGCATCGTTCGTCCTCAGTGTGTTTCTAGTCAATGTATTCATATGGTGGTCTAAGGAATGCACATTTGTTAGATATTCACGTATCTTGCAGTATGACCGTGATATGACGGTTATATGAAAAGAATAATTTGGTGGTTATGGTTAGGTCACCGTTTTTTCCATGCTCGATTCCCTCTATATGTTCTGTTGGCTGTGTGCATTGCCTTTAAGTAATCTGAAGGGTCCAGCCTTACTAGGCTACCTCTATCCCGCCGTTATCCTGAAGCACAAATCGCTTTTATTCTAAGCATAAAGCGCCTTTCAACCTTAGGAATCACTGTGGTGCTCAATCCCACATTTAATATCAAACAACAGTCTAGACAAAGCTAGAACTAAGGATATGGTGCTTCTATGCTCCAATACCATGTGACCTGTCGTTTTTGACAAAAGGAGATGCTGATGACACGAAAAAGTAATGTTGGTATGTGGATGAGGATAGGAATAGGAACGAGAACTAAAACAAAAATTTCATCTGGAAAGTGACTTATGTTATTTCTTTTGTGTATCTAATGAGATTATTAAGAGCCTGTTAGCCATATTAGTGCATGGTAGATGATTTTTAGGAGCTAAGTATCACCTACACAAGGTAGAACACCTATACATGCCCATCCGGGAAATATATACATAAAGATGATCTCACCAACTCAAAAGGATCATTTATTAGAGACTATGACCTAGAAACTCTACACTTGTAGCATCATCCGCGCCTACCAAGTGACTATCTAGCCTGTCCGCTCCATAGTACCTTAAGTGATTGACTAAACACCATACATCTTGTTCCATTGTTACTCGGTCAAATATCGCACCAAGAGAAAATAACACCGGTTTTCTAGTCGCAACCTGATCTTACCCTGCATAATAAATGCTGCAAAGGCCCAGTCTCTAGTTTCAATTGGCAGATCTTTACCCTTGTCAAGATGAACTTTCCACGTTCGGTCGACTTAGTCTATTAACGTGGGGATAGCGAAACTGAAAGTAGCATTTGCTTCAGCCCATACACTACCAGTATCTAGATAGATGAGCATGGAGTCGAATTTCAGTTTCTCTGAGCTCTGCCGTTTGATTATTAGTTCCTGGTGTTGTTAGCAGAGGTTTCCAATGCACGGAGAAACTTACTATCTCTCTTCTTCCCTGCCGAACTAACTTCTCAAGTATTGTAGGGAAAGGATCAACCATATACGCCCCGCCTTGAATTTTGTGTCGTCCATAGGGAAGGTCATCGACCTTGAGTTGAGAAGTTTCCGCAATGTAATCTTTGAGGAGGATGGATGGCGTTTTAAACTCGAAATAGCTGAAATCAAGCAAGTTCATCCACTGGCCATCCTGACCGTCTGCAGAGGTAGGGAATGACTCCTGCTCTCTCGTGAAGCATTCGATGGAGTTAGGTATGTAAGGCACATTAGTTGAAGGCTCTGTCGAGCCTTGAAGTAATCTCATCGACACGTGTCCGTCCAAAATCATCCTATCACTCTCACCACCCAGACTGCTTCGAGGTACCACTTTGGGCGGTCCTGATAGGGAGTCTGCAGTATTTGATTTGCGTTTCAAGAGCTCCTGGTCCCTATTGGCAATACCTGAAAGAGGTGTTACGTCTCTCCTAATACGAGTGAGCACTGTGGCGTAAGCCTAATCAAAACTTCTCACCTAACTAGTTCTTGGGCATCGGGAAGTGTGCTCCCATTAGTGTTTGCGGATGCTCCTTTGGGTCAATTATTAGCGAGCTCATGAGTCAGTGTTGACGAGCCGGACTGCCGTACCTGTGTCGTGGTTATTGAATATACTTTTCTCGGCCTCCTTGGGCACACCGACAGCTGTATCTTCCCGGATGATGCCAGATTCAGACAGACCACAAGTGGTGCCGTTGGGTAGAAGATCCAAGCCACGTCTACTATCTTCGGAGGAACAGACTGTAGCTAGCTCTGAATCACCATTATTGGGAGCATCATCGTAACCTTGTTCGTAGTCGTCGGGTTCGTTGAGTGGAATCCTCACATCAGACCCGTGTCGACCTTGCACGCTCTGGAGAGTGTGCTGACCATGGCAAATGGCCAGACCCTCGATATCACTCCAGTTGTGGACCGTCTCACATTCGAATAACACCCCTCGGAATTGTTCGCATGTCCTATAAGCTCGGTATCCTGTCCATCCTCCACATGCGATAAACCACCATGTAAATCGTGGTCTGGTCCATGGGATGTCCACAACACCGTTGTTTCATGATCTAAGGATGTGTGATGTTCTCTCCGAGCACACGCGTGAATTGCAGTTGGAGCGGGGGCGGAACGATCACTGCCGTCATGTGACTGTTCCACAAAGTTACTAGGCGTTGTAGGCACGAGGGTATCATTCCATAACGAGATGTTCGATGCGTCTCCTAGAATAGCATTCTAAGTATCCTTCATCAGCATCGATGTTGATCTTTAGTTATGCGGCGTCAGCTTACTGGAGACGACCGATTTTATAATCCTGCTCTTCTCTTCGTAGCAGCCCTAGACGTAGTTGGCATCTTTCGTTTCACAGGCTGAGATATCCCTTTCGCCTGGACCCGCTGATACCAATCTCTCATCAAGCTTTGTGCATACTCAACCACTTTGTTGCTCGCACCTTCGTAACTTTCGGCAACCTGGACCACACCACGACGTCGCAGCTTGTCGAGAAAGGCCTTGCGCTTCTCACCTTTCACATGTAAATCCTGTTCCCGACTAGTTACCTGTGAGAGCCTAGTTGCCATTGGTAGCGATACAGGTGTCGACCTACAACGTGCTCGATATATCCGGATCGAGTGCAAACAGGACCCCGTTATTTCCACCAAAGTCGTCCACATAGCCCCTGTAGCGCTTTCCCTTTTTCGCCCAGATTGTGCACTTCTTGACTACTTCGTCCCCAACTTCGTCGACATTTCCAGCCTGCACAATGTGGTCAGCTAAGCTGTTACAGCGCGTGGCTTCCTTCAACCAAGCAAAAGTTGCAAGAGCAACTCTTCGTCGAAACGTGTACACAGCCGTCGCCTGCTTCGAGTCCAGAGATCTCAAGTACTGATATAACGAGGAGATGTCGTCTGTGAGCAAGCCTCCCGAAAAAAAGCTCCGAGGGTCTTCCGTCCAGCCTTTCAAGAGAGGTTGAATCGTTGCAGGGACCTCGATAGGGTACTCAACCTCCCACGGCTGAGTCGTACGTGACAACTCCTTAGAGGCACCCGATATAAACTTCTGAACAGTATCTGGGGCATTTATCCAAGAACTTTCCCATCTGGCGACGAACTGGCCAACGGTTAG